TCCCTAGGCAGACGAAAACAAACACATGATTTGAAAAATCCAGGCCCTACTGCAGCCCCTACTGGAACTCCTATAAGATCAGCACTACACTCTGTGCTTGAAGTCTGTATTTCTGCAGCCAAATACTTCCCTGTCAAAATCTTCAAGTCCCCCTTGCATTCAGCAGCAATCCCTGCTCTTCCAGATCCCTGCCCCACAGGGGCACGTGGGACCAGCAGGCAACTCTCCCTCAGCATGCAGTCTGAGAGGGACTCGGGGGAAAAGCACCCTGCTCAGCTCACCCACCTGGCATTGCTGCAAGGTGCTGAGCCGATCTGTGCCCTGCAGAACTGCTGCAGGCAGAGGGCAGCTCCCTGCTCAGCCAGGAGCAGCTCCAGGCACCCTGGCCTGCCAGGTCTGTGCCTTGCCAAGTGCACTGCACAAGTCAGGCCCATTCATTTTGTAGCTGTTCTCAATGTGTCAGACTCCAGCATTAGAAAGCACTCACGCGTACATCATTTCAGCACAGGCAAGTATCCCAGAGTAATTTTCACTTGTTTGAAATGTAAGAGGCAAGTGCACGTGCTTCCCTTTTGTTCCTGAAGGGAGAAGACTTCAGCATTTCTTTCCATGTTACACCGTAAGATTCAGCTGGGAGTTTCCATGGTTTTCCAGCTTCACCTCATAGCAGCCATGTTGCATCTTCCCCATCAGACAAGCTGACGCTGCATCCAACTCCAAGAGATGTAGGATTCCAGCTTATTAAACACTACTCGACAGATCTCTATCCCCTCCAACCCAACCCCCACCAGTCTGCATCTCCACACGTTTGTCTCAGCTGAGGCTGCAGGAAGCAGTCAAAGCAGGGAACGCCTGGTGCCTTTAATTCATTCTCAGGCTAAAATTAGAGCTTCTCCAAATGTGACAAAACTCACACAAGGCCACCCCCAGCCAGCTGCCTCCTTGCTGTAGCTCTCAGACCAGGAGAACATCCTCTATTTCAGGCCATGAAGTGGCTCTTTAGTGTCACCCCTCACCATCCATCCCACCATTTCTTGTGCATTCTGTAATACCTCATCAGCATCAGCATTCTGCAGTGTCACCATTTCAAGCCAGGCCCATAGTACTCTATGGGGATTTAAAAAAATAGAAAAAACAAGCAATCCTTGCTTGCAGCAAGTACATTACTTGTAATCCCTTGGCTCCCTCCAGGGAGGCATAGAGCAGCTCTTGCTCTTTCCCTGAAGCTCCAGCCTTTTCCATATTCTGAGAGGATTTTCATATCACTGTCCACTGTTCACTGGATATTTTTCCACTAGGAAAATCCTCATTTTTGAGGAAAAAAAATCGATTTCACTTCTCTCAAATCAATCCTTCATCACTTCTTTCAGAAGATGACCAAACACAGCTGCATGGTCAGAAGAACAGCATTTCTCATAGCAATCATTTTTTTGCAGACTTTTTGAAGACATTTGTGCAGGTGTTCCTACCACCAAGCCCCCAGGTTTCCTAAAGCTCAAGAGTTGCTTGTTCAAGCCTTCCACAGCCAGAATGCACTGCAACTTCAGCCAGAAGTGCCCCTGCACCCCCAAATAGCTCCTACACAACACCTGGCTCCCAGCACAAGGGCCCTCTAAGAGCCATTCTGACTTTGGCTCACTGGATTATCGTCTCTCAAAGCCCTGCTGTGAATTTTTTGAAGTCATCACTACCACATTCTAAAAGCACATAAGCAAAAAAGAGCCAACACTTAATGAAGTGCAAAACTAATAATAAAACTACTCACTAAATGATAGAAATCATTTTCATGTCCTTTCTCATCATCCAAGATACTTGGTAAACACAGAAGTAAACACTCCTCACAGCAGAGAGCTGCTTGGAAGCCAAGTCCAACAGTAAAGCTTCAATTTAATATGCTTTAAATGCTCAACATCTTTTTCACTTAATGTAAAATCCATCTGATCTAATAGCTGTGATTGAATTATATGTGTGTTTTTCTTTTTAAAGTTAATTTTCTGAGTTGGCAGAGCACTACACACATTAGATTAAGAACGCAGTGATCTCCACAAGCTTTCCAGGATTCAGACATATTTCCAAGTCAGCTACTCAGAAGTCATTTACCCACTTTAAAAAGGGCTGCTACGTAACAGCAACATTCTGCCAGCAATCAATTATATGCTGCTTGTAATGCTGCCTTCCCATTTCATGTAACAGATCGCTATCTCTCTTGTCAAGCATCCCTCAAACCTCTTTAATGCATTTCATTTGCATCTGACATTTTTGTGACCTCTCATTTTCTCCCTTTCATTCATCAACAATGTTTGTCCATGAACACGATAAATGGAAAGCTGCCTTTACTGGCAGGTGATACCTGATGTTTGATTATACCAAACACATGGATTATCACAGCCTGGATTTTGTGTTCACCTTCATGATACAGTTGAACCAAAGAACCTCATACACAGCATTGCCAGGAGCTGTGTTCATTCAGTTTGAGCCTACGTGGTTGTACAGTATTTAAGTAATCCACTCCTATTACACCCCCAAACACAAAACTTAGTTTCTTAGATCCTAACATGCTATGATTTTATAGCATCATCAATGCCAAGGTAACAAAGAAGTCTGAGCTAGCATGTACTGGTGATACCAGCTGCAATGACTTACACTGCTCTCAAGGAAGTTGAGTCAGTTTCTCATTTTAGGTCATTCTTCATCTTGCATTCCCTCCTCCCAGAGGAGGCAGGTAACCAGTGCATCCAAGTGCAGCTCCACACCTGCCACCAAGCTGGCACCAGCTCTGGTTCACTCCTCCAGAGGAAAGCCCCTTGATGTGCAACTGAGCACAGGAGGTGCACAGGTTTAACAATCTCAGCCCCACCAGCTCTTCGGGTTGTGGAATAGCAGAAATGCTGCTGCAGGAAGCAAGGCAAAGAACAGCAACACCACTATCCTTCAATAAATGAGCACTGAACTCCAGCAGATCAGATGGGGTGCAAAAGGAACACGGGGCTCAAACTCTTGGCACACAGCGAGCAATGGCACACAAGCACTCGGGTTTTTTCCATCCTGTGTTAAGCTGATGACCTGTCCTAAACAAAACTGTGACAAGAAGCTACTAGAAGTCTACACCTAGCAAAAGAACATCTGTAGGAATGCTGAGGCAATTATTAACACTGAGGACTCTAGAACTTTGAAAATACATGGAAAAAATATGCCAGCAGACATGTGAAAAATAGATGTTACTGGGATTCAAGAGCATTCAATCGAGTCCAACACCCTCCACAACCCAGACTACAAGTTATTTACATTGCTTTACCTTTTACAAATTGATCACTACAAAAAAAGAAAAGACATTTTATTGATGTAATATAGGAGAAGTTTAGAAAAACATACACAGAAGTCCCTCAATAAGGAAACATACAATATCAAAATATGCCAGTTAGTATATCAAAACAGTCCATTTCTCTCTAATAAAAGTTTCAAGTAACGCAATCATAAAAGAATTTGGCTAAAAAGTAGTGTGTATATACTGAGATGCTTTCTGTAATAGTCCTCTAAGAAATTAAAGGAAAGCAGCAGATCTGTTGTACTACAGACACATTTAGCAAATATATTAAGTGTATTTATGTAATATAACTGTCCTGCACATTCATCACTGACGTCTCCTCCTCTATGTGGCAGCTGTCTCTCAACAGTACGTGACTCTGCCCAAAAAGGGACACAAAGGAAATAAATGTAACATCACCGAAAACGAAGTCCTAAGCCAATGAGACAGAGCTTGTTGGGAAGCCCAATTAATGTGAAGCAGAGAATTCTGCACTCTAAACTTCAGTCTTTGTTTTTCAGAGAGCACAGAGAAGGCAGCTTTGTCTTCTCTGCTTCAGGCTCTCAGGTTCTTATTTGCTAGTTATAAACAAGTGCTTTCAGCTCAGTAGCATGAAGTTAACAGGGCCACTGAGAGCACTTACAGCCTGCACTATTAGAACACCAGCATACATTATTAGGCTCATTTTTTAATTACTTCAGGTAGTCCCAAATTTCATAATTTCTCTTATGGAAATATCATCCTTCAGTTAAAAAAAATGAAACCTTGTTTTAACAGGTAAATTCCAAGCAAATAAAAGCTCTCGTTTCATTCATCATACTATTTGCATCTTTCCCCATAAATAATCAGATTATAGTACATAATTTACAGTTAAGAGGAAAATACCTTAAACTTTCATGAAATAGTGTTTGAAAATCCAGTAATTGAATTATCTTGTATAAAGCTTGCTGAGCTGCTTGGTCTATGCCCATATTATACCTAATGAAGAATGAAATTATGTTCAAGTAGAACTAGTGCATTTAAAAAAAAATATTGCTCTACAAACCATGACATTCCAGTCCTATACTTCAGCCTACAGTAATCAGCACTACACAGAATTCATCAGAAGTCTCTTGGGCAAGGGACAAAGGTTAGTGTTCTGATGGAAAACCCCATTTTTAAGTCTGATAAAAAAAAGCAAGACACTGCATCTTAAAATTTATTTAAAGAAAACCTATAACTTGGCCAGCCAAGTTACAGCACATAGCTAAATACCTTCCATCTAGCTGTGCAGCTGACTTATTAAGCATGTTGTAATAGTCACAATCAGTGCCAGTTACAAACAAGATACCCCACTCTTTGGTTAAGAGCCATACAGCTACAGTACTTGCCAAGCTCATTAGAACACCATTTATTTTCAACCATACCATGAGAGTTCAAGTTATAGGATAAACTAGAGTTTCTGGGAATAGGCCTCGTTTTAAGAAGTGGTCAATCAGACATACAATTATTTAACTACCATGTCATCATTTTGACAGTCAGCTTGTACACCAACTTAAAGCACGTTCTACATCTTTTATGAATCTACTGAAAGGAGTGCCAGGTCTGAGACTTCGTAGCTCTACTTTAGTTTTGGAAGAAAACATTTTGGCTTTGTAAGCTGTTTCTTATATAGAGTAACTTCCAGGGATTCCAATTACAGCCATAATATCAAAACAATATAAAAGTCACAAAGGTTATCACTACCGTAATCACAGCACTCCTACAAGCTGCAGCAGCCTTCAAGAGCAACGGCACTAAGCATGTCAGCAAACAAGTCCCTGTCTCATCTGAATGATCTGTAGTAAAGCAGCTTGGACATCTTCATCCATGTGACCCTAGAGCAAGCAAACACTCAGTTACAAAGAAAAACAAACAGGTCTCATAAAACATCAACTATACACAGACTACATTGGGGGGCTTTCAAAATTGCTCAGAAGTCACAACTCATTGTTGTATTTCCACCATTCTGGACAACTCTGAAATCCTCTAGGAATCCTGCTACAGTTTTCTCATGAGAGAAAGAACAGTCTGCCCAACGTAGCAGAATATCATATGAAAATATGTTTGGGCAAAAAAAAAATCGTTCCTGTTCTCTGGATGCCAGCTTGCTCTTATAGCAGCCCTATTTTTATGTGCTTATGTATCTGAAGCCACAATTCTGAAATAAGTTGCTCAGCTCTTTGTTCAGTGAGAAGCACTCAATAGGCCTGCATTCCAGCTTTAACGTGACCTCCCTCCAGCATTACCTGGGACAATGCAGAACTAATTAATACATTCACATCACCCAACACCATCACCTCAGAGCAGGTTACAGCTACACATAGCCACAGTGGAGACAAAAGCTAAGAGGGCAGCACCATAAGACTGCCATGGTATTGCTTTTCTTTTCCTGGATTGTTCAATTCTAAATTGAACTCTGAACATGAAAACAAACTTCAAATAAGCATCATTTACTTAAGATCTTCCAAAAATATCTTAATCTATGAACTCAGATGACAACATCTGAACTTGAGACTGTCATACCTGTACAGCACTAAGAAGATGTGTCCGATAGACTGAGACTACCTCTTGATGCTGCCTTTTAGCATCCTATAAAAAGGACAAGAGAAGACAAAAAGAAGAGATGAAGTCAAATTAACATCCTATCTAATTCCAATTTGGTTCTGTGTACTAGTATAGAAATACTAGCCAAAGCAAAATTCCATAGTTAAGTTTAGCTATATTCCCTGCATTAAATCGAGAAAAAAAAAAAGAGTCAATATTTCAAATTACATTCTAGTTCTGTACAGATTGACTGACACCTAACTTTGCTCACCTACACAGCTTTAGCTATCAGCTATATTAAGCCACAGAAGCCACTAACATGTATGTATGCATACAAAAAAAAAAATCACAGCACTTGCTGTGAAGTGCTCCTCTCTACTGTTAGTTCTTAATGATAAGCAACACACTTCAGTGTTTGCAGACAAGGGAACACAAAGTCCACCAAATCCATTAATAAAGGACCACTTCACTTCCTTTTAGAGTGAAAAACACATGGTTGGTCTTTTTGTACAAAATATTAATGTGGAACCTGCACACAGAAATGGTCTTGGCATGAACTACAGCAATGTACTTCTTTAGCACAAATCCTGTCTGTTTCATCTGGAAGAGTTCCTAACATTGCAACTCTGGTGCAGAAAAGCAGGCAGACAAATTTACAGACAGAAGAATCAGTCAGGGAAAGAAAAGCACACTTATGAATACTCCCACTTTTCCCCAAAGCCTGAGCTCACAATCAGCTCCAGTGTTCTACTGACCATACGCACATCTCCTTCTACATGGAATCACCATAAGCAATGCTTCTGCATCTCAGACACCCTGCATAATTACTTACAGCCAGCTGTTGTTGCAGTTTTTTTACTTGGTTCTGGAGCACTTCTACCTGCTGGTTCTGCCTCTTTGCAGGAATCCCACTGGTGTACGTAAGCTGAGACAAGCCATTAAGAGCTTGTTTTAATCGTTCCACATCATTAAGCAGCTCTGTTATCTTTAAAAGAAGAACAAACTCATTTAAGGAGGCCTCACTTCCTGAAAAAGTGGTGCTCTAGCATTTTTATTCTTAACTACAATACATGACACCAAGGCAAGAATACTTTTAAATACTTTCTGTATTTAAAAGATAGCTATAAACACTCAGGTGATCAATAACCAATGAAAGAATGAGTTCATACACCAAGAGTATGGAATGCAGGATGGGAGTCATAGAGGTTATCACCTCAACAATACCCAAAACAAAAAAGGAATTAGAAAACCTCAGTATACTGCCACAGAAAGCTAGGGCTTCTGCTCATGGGTTTGGGTCAGTCCTGGGTACCTAAGCACACAAAGTCATATTTTAACAGCTAAGCAGCTGCAAGAGCCCATTGCTACCGCACTGAAAAGGCTTGGCCCATTAACTACCTGACAGCCTACCTTGTTATCCTTGGCTTCCACTTGCTTTGCAGACTCCTGTATTCTCTTCTGCAAGTCAATAATTGTCGTCAGTGATTTATCACACCTTTCTTTCTGGTCCTTAATTTCCTGCTCAATGCTGCAGCTCCGTAACTGGAGCAATTCCTTTTCATCTTTTAAGGAGCGCTCGCTCTCCTTAGCTTGCAAAGCCTCCTCGCAAGCTTCCTCATACTTCTTGTTTACACTGGACAAGTTCTCAGTGATGGTATTAATCTGGGCCTCCAGAGCGCTTTTCATGGAGTTGTATTCTGATAAGTCAATCACTTCTCTGCTCTCCAGGTCTGACAGAGCCTGTTGATTGCGCTGAATCTCAGCTTGCAGCTTCAAGATTTCCTCACTTTTAACTTGGCTTTCTCCTTCCTTCTCTTTTAAACTGCTTTTAGTTGCTAGGATTTCTTGTTCCAGCATTTCTTTCATTTTCGTATATTCAACCAAAGGCACTGAGGACTTCTTCAGATCCAGCAATTCCTGCTGCAGTTCTCCTACTTTCAGCGTCTCTTTATCATAACAATCCTTCTTACTTCTGAGAGCTTCCTTTAGATCCTCTATAGTGTGCCCAAGAGCGTTCTTCAACACATCAATCTGCTCCACAGACAGATGCTGACTGCCCACAGGAGCCTGCACAGCGACACCCTGCTTGGTGCTCTCTTTCAGCTCATCTTTTTCATCTTTTTCGCCCGTATATTTCTGCAGCATCTCTCTCAATTGCTTGTTCAGCTCCTCCATTTTGCTTGCAAACATCTTTTCCATTTCATGGCATTTCTCAGCAAGGACGTAGTTTTGCTGCAAGTCGTTCTGGATGGACATAATGCCTTTTTTGAGCTTTCCATTCTCCTCCTTGCACTTCCTACCTTCCTCCTCACTTTCTTTGCACTTCCGCATCTGTTCCTGCAACTGTGCTTTTAATTCTTTCACCGTGGCTTCAAAGTTTTGTTCTCTGTCTTCAAAGGAGGCAACTGGGGCATATTTTGACTTAATGCATTCTTGAATCGTGTCAAGTTCCTTCTTTTGGGCTTCAATTTCTCCGTGTAACTGCAGAATCTCCTCTTGACTCCTCTTATATTCAGCAGCAATTGCAGCATTGTTTTCCCGAAGCTCTCGCACGCTGTTCTTCAAAGCACTCACTTTAGCATTGTGCTCTTTTAAACTTATACATTCGGTTTGTAATTGGTTCTGTAGAAGTTCCACCTTGTCTTTCAAAGCCCCATTTTCTTTATCTATTCTCACAAACTCTTGCTTTCTCTCTTCGTTCTTTTCCTTCAGATCTGACAACTCCTTATTACTCCTTTCCAGTGCATCATTCAGAGCAGTTTTAATCTCTTCATGCGTTGCAGCCAAAACATACTGATCCTTCACAGACTCTCTTATGGCCGTGTTTTCAGAGACAAGTTTGCACATTTTTTCTTGTTCATCATCATATTTTTTCTGAAGCTCGGCAAGCTGCTTTTCAAGCTCAATGCCATGAGATTTCAAAGCTTCCATTTCTTCTCTGTGTTGCTCTGGAGACAGGTACACAGCCTGCAAGCAGCTCATGTTCTCACTTAAGCTGCTCTTCTCTGCCAGCAAACGCTCAGCTTCTGCTTTGCTTTCATTGTATTTCCTTGTTATTTCGAAAAGCTTTTTGGTCAGATCACCAACAGTCACATCACTTGTTTTTTTCAGTTCTTCATGAATTTTTAAAGGCACGTTCTGGCTTTTAATTTCAGTCTTTAATACTTGGATTTGTTGCTTAAGCATCTTGTTATCAGCCTGAAATCTTTCGAGTTCCTTCTGCAGAGTCTGATTCTTTTGCGACAATTCAGAAATTCTCCTCTCCAGTCCCTCATTTTTTTGCTCAAAGCCACTCCTCATTTGCTCATGATCTTCTGGCTTTACGTGCTGAGCAAGTTTAGCCTTCTGACTATCAAATTCCCTTTTTAAAGCCCAGATCTCTGCCTGCAGTTTTTCACGCTCTCCCTCAATCTCTGCTAACTTCTTTGCTTTCTCGTTCACTTCATCTGACAGTGAACTCTTCATGTTTTCAAATTTCTCTGAAGCTACAGAGTGTGCTAACTTTGCTGCTGTTTCTTTGAGCTGCCCTTCTAACTCCATGACACTTCTTTCCCTTTTATCTCGCTCCATCTCCAACTTTACAAGTTCCTTCTGCAACCTTTTATTTTCTTCCACCAGCCTTCCTTCATCTCTCTTAAATTCTGCCACTAGCAATTCGTTCTGCTTAATCTGGTTCCTCAGCTTACCCACTTCAGCAGAGGCTCCTTCATACTTTGTTTTCATTTCTTTCAACTGATCCTTCAGCTCCTCTGTTAGCTTACTGTTTCCTGAAGCAGCTTCGTTAGTCAGGTGATCTTTCAGAGCAAGAAAGTGGGTCTGCATTTGCTTAACTTTGCCTTCTGAGTCAAACATCCTCTTCTGCACATCTTTTAAAGCATCTTCCAATTGTTTTATCTGTCCATCAGACTCTTCCTTGGTTCTTTCGCACTCTGATGCCAAAGCTTTACATTCAGATACCTTGTGAGACAGTTCTCTCTGCAATTTGCTTATTTCTTCTTTTGCTGCACCATAGCAAGTCCTCATGCTGTCAAGTTCTTTCTTTAAAGTGTCTCTCTCTGAATTGGGTGACTGCAGAGGCAGGGACAGCTCCAGGGGTCTCAGCATAGACCTGGACTGAAGATAAATCGACATAAAAGTGTAAGCATGCTTACAAGTTTTATCCACATGCATTGTCACATTCATAACTACATGAAATCTATGCTGACAAGCACAACATTTTCTGAGATGTTTTTTGTTTCCTTAATTTTTTTTTTTAAGGAATATACTGACCTACACTTGCCCATATTATGTCAGCAATAAAAGCTTTGATTATACTTCTAGTTATTGTTTACAAATCAGACCCCACTGATGTTAAAATGAATGTTCCTGTTCCTGTGTTTTATTTTCCATCATTATTCACATTTAATCATATCTACTCAAAAATATTTCAATTTCCTGTAAGTGTCCCTGCCAACAAGCATATGAAAATGATGGTCAAAGGAGTTGGAACAGACTGAGTACACCATGCCTAATAGGACCTTCTCTCCACAATGACTGAAGAAAACAGTCACTTTACTTACTGTCTAGTAAAGAACATTAAAAAAATATTATAAAACAGAAAGCAGCTTTGCTGTTTTGCATTTTGTTTAGTACCAACCTTCACTTTGCTGACAGCCATTACGGCTATTCCATAGCACTGACCTGGTCATGTTCCAAGCACCTCCTACTTTCAGGTCACCTGCAGACCTGAGCAGCTTAAAGCCACTTAATTCTGGCATGGGATAAGGTTTAAATTTTATTGGTTTTTTTTTTTTTTTTGCTTGGTCAAACTGTGAAGATAGCTAGCAATCAGCAAACAAAATCAGCAGGAAATTATTATATAGTTGACAAGAAAATGGTCTAGATTTTAACTGAATTTTAAGCAGGAGAAAAGTTAGGGAGATGAGAAACAACTGCACTGTGCACCATGACTGCTGCCCCAGGCTTCTGTCGATTCTTTTCAAGAATGCCCATCACAGACCATTCAGTACTGATGTCTTTGCAGCATTTACAGCTATGTCACACACACAACCCTAGAGGGCACCAGCAGTTAAAAACATGGCAAGGCCAGTATTATAGAAACAGTTTAATACGTGCACATTTATAAGAATTTTTTGCTTTCCCAAGATTTACCAGCTCTGAATTCTAGTAATAAAATATTTATTACCTGTGATTCCACAGCAAACACTTGACCTTGTTTAAGTAAATCTTCTTTCCCTAGATTTTCAAAGCAAATAGCATTTAGTTGAGAAACAGTTACACAAATCCCAACAACTATGTTTTTCCTTCCTAATTTTGTTCTTTTTAATGGGACTGTGCTATGTTGCAGGTTGGTGTTTAAGTATCTGGTATTAAAACACCCCCTCTTAAATTAAGTAAGGCAGGAAGCCTGGACAAACACCTATAAAGGGAAAGACACCCCTGCCACCCCAGGCTGGGTGCTGTTCTGCAAGAGAGCCATGAAGGCTGCCTTGAATTACCTGTGAAGAGAATACAGCAGGGAAAAGTATTCCTTTGCACTCCAGATAAACCTTCCGGGCAACTAAACAGCTCTTGTTGTGGTTCACAATAGATTCGGTGATATTTTAAGCTAAACAAGTGCAGGACAGGCCTGTAACCAAGTTGGGTGTGAAAGACTCCAGCTTCTGGAATTTGAATCGTTTTTAACAGAAGTGTAAATTGAGGAACTGTGCTTAAAAGTTGTCTTCAAGTTTCCCTGTGCTGAAGCACTCATGATTGCCTGCCTCGTCCAGCAGAAGGATCACAGACAGGCAAGAACACGTAGTGTTTAAGGTATGAAGAACAGAAAGACTCTCTTGTAGCAGAGATCTCACTCGGTTTGTTTTTCACATCATTAGAAGACATCCCAGATTTCACAAAAACAGTCACACGTGGGTTTTATCAATGTGTTTAGCACCCAGCAATCTGCATTGTGAGGTAGGAAGTGTAGACAGACATGTTTGTCTATAGCAAGGACAAAGAAGAGAAGAAAAAGCTGTTCTCCAACACTGCACGAGAAGCTGTAGGAGTTAAATCCAACACTTACTGTTACTGAAGTTACTCCCAGATCCCACTAAGTCAACCTACAAGCAAACAACAGAAAACACAAAAAATAAAAGCTGAAAGTTCGCACTGAGTTATCACATCTAAGCTACAGATAAAAAGGCAGAAAACTTTAAGTGAGATAAAGCTCAAGACTTTCAATAATTAAAAAGATTAAGTATTGACATAGTAAATACCCATTGTTGTATGGCATTTCAAATCAGTTAACATACTTCATAATATTTGAGCTTAGCTTTCAGAGCTTCAATAGTCCTTAAGCTTTCTTCCTGCTGTTTTTCCTTTGTACTCAGGATTTTCTTCAACTCATCTTTCTGAAAGAGAATAGAAAGTGCCAAATAGCCAAAGCCACGAGGACAGCCAGATTCATAAGATAAGCAGCTTTTAAAAGTGGTTTAAAGAGAAGTTCAACTAAAAATCAGTACTGAGAGAATACCTAAATTCTTTAGCTTTAAGCTAAAATTCTGCTACAAAACTACGTCTCTACAAGAACAATCTCATAGTAGTCAAGGAAATAGGTATTAAAATCATGTGCAAGTTTCACCAATGCAAATAAATGAAAGTCACTAATTCAACAGATGCTTACAATACCAAGACTGCTTTTTAAGGTGAAATAACTATTACAACATTTATTTGTAGCAATACAAATACCATACAGCTCTATGAACTGAATACATATCAGAAGATACTTCGTTTAACCTTTATATAGCTTTCCTCCATAGCTTAAATACCATCTCCTAAATTCAATAGTCATTTCTCCTATTTCATAGCTCTATTACACTTCAAAGTGATATAATCATACCTCATTTTCAAGATCATCTGCAAACATTTGTTCCTGCAAAAATAACAAAAAATCCCCCCCACAAATCATTTTTCAGTACTGTTTTTAAGGGGCTTATACACTGTACATTAATTGATGAGTCTACCCAGCTTCTCATCCTGCATGCTCCCAATACAGTGCCCACCTCGCATTTGCCTTTAACCTCTAGCAAGAGAAAAACAAATAAGGATGTTGACAGAACACTGTCTCTTGACACTTGTACTAAGAGAAAGGAATGCCTTTCTGTTCTATGTCACTGAAGCAGAAAAATACAGCTTCTCAGTAAAAAGAGAATGAATAGAACATGAATATGAGGAGGCAGAATGGTTTCCTTGGGATTTTTTGGAGGGGCAGAGGAGGAGAGTTGGGTATTGTTTGTTTTGAAGGGGAGGAGCAGTTTGGGTTTGTTTTTGTAAGAAACAGAACTTGTATTTCAGATAATGAACCAAAACTGAAAATCTTTTTTCCCCTCCACTTTTTTCCTAACTGAAGAGTTTGTGGGTTTTTTTTTCCGTGTTTCCACTTTAAGTAACTGCTGGAAAATAAGCAATGGCTCTGGTAAGTACCAGTGCACAATAGCTACATTTAAATGGCAAGTTAAGCTTACTTTCTGAATTACAATAGACAAGAATGCCTCGTGGCTCCTATTCCATTAGGAAATATAGCTATAAATGCTATTGCTCAACTTTATGAGGAGCAGTAGACAAAGGTGCAGCATCTCCTTGCATTTTAAATGACTACAGACTGGAGGTCTTTGCAGCACAAGAAAATAATAGCAGCACCTACAGAAGTAATCTGCAGTAACTCCATGAAGACTAGTGGTTTTACCTCAGTTAACTGCAGCTGAAGCCCACTGATTCTATCCAGTAACATCCTTTGCTCCTCTTGCACTTCTCTCATTCGATCCTTCAAATCTTGATTTTCTAACTCCAATTCCTAAAAAAAAAAAAAAGCAGAATAAATCCACCACACCCACACAGGGAAAACTAATGAGTTTGTACCAACAATTTTAGCAGTCATTAATGACATCAAACCTTGCTTAAAAAGCCCCAATGATTTTGTTGCCTTACTTTAGCACTGTCTCATTCTGAAGTTTACACAAGCACAACTTTCAAGGTCTCCAAGCTTTTTGTCTCTAGATAATTCCTTCTCGTGTACATACAGGCTTTGAAAATAGAAGCAGAATAAGAATACATTCAATGCTGAAAGCTCTCAAGTGCTTGCCTATTAACACGTAACAATAATTAGTATTAGAACAGTTCCTGAAACCCAGTGTATGAATTGAAAAGGCCTCACTGGCATGAAGCACAGCAACTTGAATGGACTGCTGTTCCAGAAACCACAAGAATCAGCCTAGCAATGCACAGAATTGCAATGCATGGAAATGATAGGTCTTCAGATCTCCAGTCAGCCCAGTGCTTACATCCAAACAAAGCCTGTTTAACCACCAATAGATAATCACCTTCTTAATAGTGGAAACTGCTTTAGCTCAAAACAAAAGTGCTGCATTTAGAGATTCTTATCCTTTGTAATAAAAAGGATTGCAAAATGAAAACGTCAGTATCTCAGTGGGTTGCTCCCCATAGCTTAAAGTGTTATATACCTTTTCATAAACTGTAATGACATAATAGGAAGATGAGAAAGTTACTGCCAGTTAATAGAGCAATTATGATGCAAGTTAGTTTTAGAAAGACAAGCATACATTTCTGAGAATGTTAGAGCATCTTCCTGCTTTGTGAGCCCATGATCTTACTGCAGGTGGAAGTAGCAGGCACCAAAAGTTAAGAGATGGGAAAGGGCAAGTCTCATCTCATGTCTTAAAAGTATTAAGCAAAAAATCTTGCAAAAGTTTACAGCTTATCTGCATAATTGTCACTTTACATACTCAGGCAATTAAGTTTTAAGTAAACAGCAATACATGTATGGTGTTCCTAAATGGAACTGCCAGTGCTTAGAAGCACACCTTGTCTTTAATGCCTGATTCATTACAGGTATGGGAATACATAAGTCAGAAACCCTTCTCATTCACCTGAGCATTATGTTCCTTCTGATACAGCTTCACATTCACCTCTTCCTGTGCATGCAGCCGATTCCACTTCTGTGACATATTGTTCATCTGTTACAGCAATTAAAGCATTAATTGACATTCCTGGTGCATTCTGACAACATTTACCCAGGTTCTATTTCAACGTCCAAGGAGGGGTGGGGAGGAAGCAATACTACTGAGCAAATGTGCACATCAAGTATTTTTTAAACAAATGCACACACCACATAATTAGAGTTGAAAACAAGTTGATTTCATTCCCCTGATCACATCCCTTTGTAAAAATATTAGTGTCCCAAGCTACTTCAGGAATCAACAGGCTTTTGAAGATGTTGTCCCAGCAAGACAAAAACCTGCTCCTTGTTCAGCAATAGCTCACTTCCAGCTCCAAACAGCAAGAAATGTACTGAAAATTAACACAGACCCCAAGCGAGGCCCAAAAATCCAAAAACCATTCTGGGCTTCACCCCACAGGGCAGAAAAATAAGAGGATAAGTGTTACAGAAGAGGAAAACTTCACTAACACTACGTATTCTCCCACACCTCATAAGGCAGCCTTAGGAGATACCACAGTAAGCCTCACCTTCTGTTCAGGCTGCCCTCTCTTCATGGTATCTCTTGCTAGAAAAGCAACACAAAATAAGAATTTAAAGAAAAATTCATTTCATTCAGATTCACACAAAGCATACTCTGCAGATCTACTTCACTTTCTTAGGAAGACATTTCAAGAAATAGTTCCCCCCTCCCCAAATGCGGTTAAAAAAATGAAGTATTTCACAAGTACAAGATATTCTATAATAATGCTCCAGAACAGCTATAATCAGTACTGCAAGACCAGTTCAGTAATACTAATACCCTGCACCTCATCACATCACAGCCTGCATTAGCTTTAAAGGCTTTACTACAGACAAAGAAACAAAACCCAAAACCCCTCTCCTCTCTACCCCCCATGCAGGCTGTTTATCAGCTCTTTGTTTAAAGGACTGCAGCTGGCCCCCAAAGACTACATTCAAAGACACAGCACTGAGAGGATATGCAACCCAAATGAAAGAGTAACAGCAAGCAGCAGCAGCCACCTTCATACCTTTGCTGGAATCCTCAACGGCAGCTTTTATTAAAGCCAAAATGTCAATATTGTCACCAATTCTGGCATAGTAAGCACAGTCATGACCAAGGCCATCAACCAAACTAACATCCGCACCATTCCTGAGCAAAACTTCTACCGCGTCCTTGCAGCCATATTCACAGCCTAACATTAGGGCAGTCCTGAGGATGGGGAGAAAGATTGCATTCAGAAACTCTGGGATCTTATGCTTTCAGAGGAGTGCTCAAAGAAATAACCTTACACTTATGTCTAATGGTGGAAAGTTGAGTGAAGGAATCTTTCACTTATCAAGAGAGGAAACTAAACATTAAAAAGTCATTTAGTAGATGACAAGTATTTGTAAAAAGCAAAACACAAATAGCAGGATTTCCATAAAACCCAGCACAAACCAACTGCTTTCAGAGCACCACCCAATTACTCTGAAAACTCCTGTGATTTTTGGCTTACTCTGTTTACATACAAACATCAATAGACACAACAAACACAAGAGGAAGTTTAGACAGAGTTCCAACAAGTGCTTGAGAATCCTGGCAATGCCTCCCAAACAAACATTTGCCAGCTTCAGAACATGCAATGCAAGCACCCATGCCTTGCCTCCCACCAGACCCAAGTCCATTACCAGCAGGAAAGCGTCCTCCAAGACATAGCCAGCAAAAGCAGCAGTTCGTTACATGCTCCCCGCTACCCCTCCTCCATTAAAACAGAAAGAAACATCTCAGGGCTTTCCAGTCCCTCAGACGCCCCAGTGGGTCTCAAGTACTTCTTGAGAAAGTACTGCTTTCATCGTGATATGCTTTACACATCAGTCTCAAAGATGATAAGCTGCAGCAGTGGACAGACGAACTGTTAAAACAACCAACTGCCATTCCTCTGCTGGGTATCACATGCAATCCTTTCCACTTAAGTCTTTCTAAATGTATTTTAAAATGCAAGAATAAGCAACAAGAAAAGTCAAGTTTGTTAGCATTATTGAATTGGCACATAATTTCTGGATTAAGTCCCAGGTCAGAGGGTTGGTTTTTTTTTTTTTCCCCCCCTCTCAATTTAACATTTGTTCTGCAGCCTGAAAGCCAACAGAGAACGTTCTACCCTTGAATGGTCACAGCAGGCATTCTCAGAACACCCTGCATGCATTACCTGTTTTGTTTGTCCCTGGCATTGACGTCTGCTCCTCTGTCTATAAGAAGCTGGCAAACTGTGGGGCGACACATCTGAGTGGCCAGCACCAGTGGTGTCCTCCCATCCTGAAGAGGGAAAAAAGGAATGAAAAAAAGGGAAAGGATGTAGAGAAAGCACACAAGAATACAGCAGGGCATGTGTGGGAGAGAGGTATTAGCAACAACTTACTCCATCCTTTGCATTCACTGAAGCGCCATGGTCACACAGGAGTTGTATGCTAGAGGAACAGTCTGACATAGCTTGCAAGAGAAGAATGAAGAGCAGGTTATACTGCTGACGTATTCATGAAACCCCAAATACTTCTTGGGGTGCATCACTGCTCTGTAACACTGCTTAATGGTACTTGCTCTAGACAGTACTAGTCAATTCACAAAAGAGGATGTAGATCTAAAAATTTCTGCTAAGTCTTCTAAGAAGTCTGCTGCTAAGGCTGAGTGTCATTACAACATAAAGCAGATCAGTTTAAAAGAATGAGGCATATCTGAGAACCATGACATAATTAAATCTAGATTTCATACTACTGTTAGGAGAAAAAGCAAAATCTTTTACCTGCATCATGAAGGGCTGTTCTTCCTTGAAGATCCACATTCTCTGTTGGACAATTGTACTGTCAAAATAAATAACTTCGATTATTAGCTACCATTCAGATGGCATTTAGAACACTTGAAAGGTTTTGAGCTTTTAACTAAAGCAACACAGAATCAATGAAGATAAAACATACCTCTGAAGTTTCCAGGCACACGACATACAGAAAAAGAGCAGCTATAGGTACATGCATTTCAGTGCTTTGAACACACACTGTTGAAAAGTTCTAGAATAAAATTAAGGCTGTACAAAGCAATCACACAATCCATCAGAGTTTTCACGAACTTTCAAATGTTTGTTCACCACAGCCAAGAACCTCTCTGCTATTCGTCGTTGCTTCTTTGCTACCAGTATCACTAGTAGCTCTGCCACTCTACACAAAAGGTGCCAGTTATGTCTGCATGCAGACATGTGTCAAGTAAACTGAAGACATTAAAAGCTCATTAAGATTTCAAATTAAAATAAATGAAGAAAATCTTCACACCCCAAAACAATCCCCATGCAATACTTTCATTATTTCATTAAGGAAAGACTGCTGGACATAACTGCCCATCTTTCAAAGCAAATGTTTCTCTTGTGCACACCTTTCAGCATCACTGTTCCTAAAAGCAAACCGATTCAGAAAAGGAGCACTAATCTTTAGAAGACACTCGAGTTCACTTTATTTAGAAGGTAGAAACTTTGAACTTTTGTGAAGAAGCAGAAGGATGCTGTTTATTTTCACCTCCATACATCCAGCCACTCCTGTTATTTCATACGAAAAGATTTTCTCCATGACTATCAGGTTTGTTTCTCAAACCAGAAAAAGTAGGTTATCTTAAAATTCAGACTGGTATAAGTAATGGCAGCTCCCCCTACCAAAAGGGTAAAAGCCATCAGGAAGGACAAATTCTATTTTTCAGTACCTGCAACAACTTCTGCAGACATAAGGCATGTCCATACTTTGCAGCGAGGTGCAGTGCGTTTCTTCCTAGAAAACACCAGTAGCAGTTCAGGATCTATTATGAACATGCAGTTAGAAGCACCATACACAAATCCAACATGCTTATGCTGTTTCTCAGAAAGTTTATTATTTATCACATAACATCAATTCACAAGAAATTCACTTGCTCTTCACTGATTAGGACAGTTTATTTCATCTGAACTAAAACCTTTGTCTTCTGCATATGTAATTCCACGTGCTTCATTACTGGTCATCATGGCTTAGGTATATGGAAATACAAAGTTGTATTTGTGCCATTAAACTGCTGGGCTTGTTTCAGTCCAAGCAACAGTTCAGATCAACACCCATATCATTTTATTTGATGGTCTGGGGGGTTTTTTAGGGCAATTCTGACAGTACTAAAACTAAGTCATTCTCTTAGAAATACTTCACCACTTGCTAAACAGTGGGGCTTTTACATTACTTTATTTAATTTTAGAGAAAGTGCAACCAACAATCCATAATGAAATTTGCAGTGTTTTGAGATGAATTAGTCCATGAGTTTCTTTTAAAAAAATCTGTTATGTGAGCCAAGGTCAAGTTCTGCTGCATGTCAGGAGCACTCATGGACTTGTATGGCAGTACATGACCAATTTTCTCTTGGTTCAGCCAACCACATGCAGCACTACAGGAAGGAGGGAGACCTACCCTGTGACTTCATTAAATCCCACTCCAAAGCAAAAACCAAGCTGAGAAGTTCAGCAAGTTGCACGTGAGCATTTGAGGAAGCATACCTGCAGCATCAGTGGCTGTGATATCAACTCCATGAATAAGGATGGTGTTCAAGCAGTCCAGATTTCCCTTTGATGCCACAACATGGAATCTAAATAGAAAAGCCATGCTTAAGTGCAACTGTTTTATTTGCAAAATAGTAATATTAACCAAGAAAGTCAAAGCAAATAACCAGATGTTGATGCAGACTAAATTGCATGCTACAAGTCCATCCTTGCTGCTAGAAATTTATCATTCCCATGATCAACCCTTATGATTTCTGTTCACAGTGGTTTCCTCCTCTTCTCCACTCTCCACTTCTTCCACTGCAGTGCAGAAGCTACACAGCCTTCTTTGTTCAATTCCTCATTAAGATGAATTTCATACTTTGTAAGACTAGTTCAGATGAGGGAAGAAACTAACATAGCACACTGTAAATATATACTGCTCTTTTGTAAATATGTGTGTATGCAAAGCAGCAGTAAGACTTGGGCACGGAGCAAATTCCCCTGGCTCCCCCATCACCAGAGCACTGGAAGTTACTTACGCAGACCTCCCTTCCACATCCAGCTTAGTGGGACTGACTCCTTTTTTGGCAAGGATTGATGAAACCTTTTCCACATCGCCCCTTTCAGCTGCTTTCATTAACCTGTCATCATACTTGTTCCAGTCTGTATTCAGCTGTACAAAAGAGAGCATTAGAGAAGTGAGCTTGTGGTACAGTACTGATCATAAAGCTGATCCAGCTCATTACTGGGGGGAGGGATAAAAAAAAGATATTTTTGTTTACAAATGACAGTCATACCTGTTAAATTGTTTGGCTATATATGTACAATACCATAGCATTTCAACGAGGCTGTCAGCATCGAACACACTGCTCAGGACAGCTTGGTTAACTCATTCTCATCCTTAAAGGAGAATTTTGGGGTATAAAACCACTCATGCTGCTGAGATCCATCTGGAAGGTCTAAAACTAAACTTACACACTAGCTCCTTATAAATTTAAGGAAAACTCAACATTTTCAGACAGTTTCATCACCTGCAGATCTAACTCTGCCTCCCCCCGAGCAGAGGCCAGCCAGCCGTGGGACTCACAGCACAGTCACAGAAGCACAGAATGACCTGGGTTGGAAGGGAACTCAAAGATCACGTCTGGAGAACGTTTCTCCTAATGCCCCATTATTACATTTTAACTTTCCCCCCATCCCCTGACCCCATTCATCCCAAAAGCTGCCTCTTGGCCTTACAGGGACATCAGTTCTCCTCTCCCAAGGCAGCTACAGAAAAACCTGGGGGGATTTCTTGTTCATCTTCACTGTCAAACATTTAAATTGTGATTGTTCTAAATAAAGCAGTCAACTGTCCCATTTCTCTGTTAAATATCTGTCCATGCCCCAAAGCTTACAAGCTAAAACACAGCAGGAACAGATAAGCCAGGAATGGCAAGCAACAGAGCCCAAGACACTGCAGCTACCCACTTCTAATCCCAGTGTCCATCTTCAGCATAAGCTTCTCAGTATTCACAAAATATCATTTCATAAGGAAGATAAAATACAGGTGCTACAATTCTTCCCCCTTCTATCAGCCCTTTGATAGTCAAGGTAGAGCAGAGAACAACACAAGGACATGTGTTTTGCGGGACATTTCAACACAACAATTACAAAACACGTAATCAACAGCAGACCTCAGTTTTTGTGAATTCAGCAGTCAGCAACTTGAAAAATATGAACTAAGTTTAGCCCTTTCCAAACTAAGTTCACATTTATCAAAACCAGCTGAGCTCCACAGATTGACTGACAGCCCTGCTGCTTCCATGACAAAACGAATGATGAAAGAACACCAGAAACGAAGGCAGGGACCTGGCGTTACACCACCAGCTACTCACACTGCTCTTCCTCCAAGCACTGTTCCAGACTCCCCACGTGCCTTGCCAGGGAGGGAACCCCCAGCACAGCACATTATATGGGCACAGAGATGCACTGATTCAACCCACTGCATTTGGTCATCCTTAAAAATAGACCTCAGCTAGCTCTGAGATGTCCCAAGGGCTCTCCAGTTTTAACACCAAACAGATGTGCCAATGATACACAAGAGGATGGAGCTTTTTCTGGCTGCTCAGGATTGCTCACAGATCTGCAGTTCAGCTGAGCAGGAGACGAGCACCTATGAGATGTGCAAGAAGCAAATGCAAGGTTTACAGCTTCAAACTGCCTGCAAATACCAAAGCTACGCAGGGTACAAAGAAAGCACAGGTCGGTCATAAATAGAGCACTGCACAGACACCGACAGCCGTCACCCCCCCCTTATTCCTTGTTTACCTCCAGTTTAGAACTGTGGGTGACACCCTGCCCAGAGCACGAGGCCTGCCCTGCCCGCTGCCAGCACGGCCTGCTGAGCTGTTTTATGATTTCCAAAACGCTCTGTACAAAGTGAAGGGCAGCACTGCCCCAGGTCCCCCACCGCAGCCTGTCAGAGCCCCGCTCAGCCACACGGGCCGCAGGGGCAGCGAGCACAGGCCCACCTCACAGCCAGGCAGGCTCTGCTGGCTGGAAGAAATGCAGGAAGTTCGGCAATGAACACCTATTGCCACCACTGCACAGCTGCACAACGAGTCACGTGGCGGCGTTACTGCCATTATCTTTATTTCCCATTCCCACAACATGGCTGTGGTAATCATGGAGGCTCAGCAGCGACTTGCTGGAAGTGACATGCAGTAATAGAAACAGACAGCTCTCAAGTCGCACCCACAGGTGTTTCAACAAAGTGCAGCACCATTGTCAATCAATTAAAACATTAATTAATTACAAGCCAAGCCGGCCTGGCATAACCAAGGCCCCCAGAGGGCACAGCACAGGTCACAGTGAGAGCTGCAGGCTGCCAATGGGGAGAGCAGGATTCCCCAGCGCCTGACAGAGGCTCTCTGCTACCAGCTCCTTTTTCTGCAAGTGATGCTAAATACCCCAGAACTGCACATCAAGCTCTGCCCCCCCCCAAATTCTTTGAAGTACAACACATTTCACATCCTTCAAGTGATATTGTATGGATGCAAACGTGCATCCATGTTCAGACTTTGAGTTTCAGACCTGGAGTTTATACCCACCAGCACAAACTCAATCACATATACAGACAACCCATTACCATACGCTCCTTCCCATTTCAGCCTTCAGATAAAAATAGTATTTTGTTATCATTGTGTTAATAGAAGTACAACTTTTCTTTGGTTATCACATCTATAATTAAGTTACATCAGTCTCCTATGATGCACTAACTCAACTATTACCAGCTGAGCATTTCACATTCACCAAAACCCCCACAGGAAGAGTTCCTAAAGATGAACGTAACTCATATTAATTAATAAGAATTAATAAGGAGTTCCAGAATTCAAGCTTTTGTGTTTCTGCAGCTGTAAGGTGCTGCCATTGATAGGAAATTTAGGATACCTACTGTGTCTTTAGCTGCACAAGAAAACCAACAAGTCATTCTAGAAGGCACAGCTTCTTGCTGCCAGAAGTGCCCGGCGTGCCTTGCATCAAGCCACGAGCAGCTGCAGCTCACCGAGCACCAAGCAGAACGGGTTCGAAGGGGCTCTCACATGCAGATCCTCTCCCCCACCCCAAGCTCATTTTGCTCCATCCTTCGCTTAGCTGGGATCCCCAGGCACGTTTGCTGCATCTTCAGGATCCTCCTCAGCCTTCATCCCTCCAGGCTGAGTGCAGCTCCGTGCCGCAATGCTGCGAAGCCCACGGCAACTGCCCAGGGATTGCTTGTGTAAATACCGCCCAGCCTGCAGCGTCTTGTCAACAGCACGCAGACAGTCAGCAGCCCAGATCTATTTTCTGATAGCGGAGCGATGGAGAGCAATAGCTATTAATACATTCCCTGCATGCTCGTGCTGTGAGTAATGTCTTTGGGGTTTAATGTTCACCGAGCAGACAAGCACGCACCGAGCTGCGCTGCCACGTCCTGTTCCACAGACACAAACACTGGCTTTAAAATAACAAACACATTAGTCAAATTAACTGTCGGCTGACATTAATGAAGGTCATGCTTCTCACCACTAATAACACAGAAGGACTGAAATACCAGCAGGAGTCATTTTTTCCCATTCCACCGCAGCGCAGAGCCAAAAGCAGCGCCGCCATCAGACATGAGACAACTCTGACTGCAGAGCAGATGGAATGCCTGATCCTATTTTGACAGAAATTTAACCCATTTTAAATTAGAAAACACACACGCCTCCGCTTCAAGAAGATATCCCCTTCTACAGTGATGGAAGCCATTCCGAATAGAAGCAGGTTTCAGCTTACTGCTGCTGCCAGTCTGTCTCCCAACGCGTTAAATGAGAGGAGTCGTGGAGGCTGTCAAAACATTCAATAGACAGCATCATGATTAACAGCGGGGAAGCTGGAAGTCTCCTTCCACAAGCTTTGCATTTAAGCAGAGATCTCCTGAGTGCTGTATTTAGAGGGCTGGGTCAACATCACAGGCAGAGCACTGTTTAGTCTGCAGGGCAGACAAACGTGATGCAGAGCAAGAAAACCACAAATACAGCACATCCCCTGTAGGGCACTTGGAAATAACTGAAAATGGCTTTTCTCAGAAGAGCCACCTATCACAGGCTGATCACACCTATTCCTATTTGCACTATTCACCCTACCCATCATTTTGCAGCTACTCCACGCTGTGTGCTGGGAGCAGCACTTTGCCTCACAGCACTGCCATGTTCCAGAGGACATCCCAAGGCATCTCTGCAATTAGCATTCATGTGACAGAACCACTCCAAGAACACTCAGTGCTTATGGGAATGACCACATCACAAGTTATCTTCTGAGCAGAACTGAGTCTGTCTCCTAAAGCTAAAAGTGGCATTCTGGAAAAAAATAAATACATTTTACAAGTGACAGCAACAGCAAAAATACCTACACAGCTGGAACCAGTTTGGTGAGAACCCACACAGAGGACTGTGCTCCCCAGCTGAGCTCCCTCGTACAGATCTACCCAAATCCAACCAACCACAAGGTTTCTCTGTTCTGTGAGAGCCTGCCTGCCTGATGCTGCTCCCTGTGACTGTTGAGGCCATCCTGCAGCCTTCACGCCTTGCCCATAGGATCCAGGATTGCTGAACCATGCCCAACTTGGGGCAGCACAGCTGTCACGGCTCCAGAAAGTGCAGCCCAGCTTCACATTTGCACTGGTGGAGTTCCTCTCCCAGGCAGCTCCTTGTCAGAGAGCTCAAAGGGTGGGAAATAAAGCTCCAAGTGTGCAGTGCGTGGGTTGTGTTAGACTACAAGACATAGCCCATGCCACACAAGAACTGAACCAGCACAGATGACTTCTCCTAGCCTTCAGTCAACTATTTAAGCTTCCTAGGCTAGAGAGATTCTAATTATTTACCGAATAATTTTCAATTAACTTCCCTATTATCTAGTTCTTCATGGTGTGCAAACAAGCTTTTAGCATCCTCAACACCATCCAGGAACTGTACAGCTTCACTGCACACACCATGAACCACCACTACTGTTCTCCCTGAACCCCAAGTCCTTTATCTTAGAGATAACATCACAGATGAGAAGCAAAGCTGCTTTCCCCCATGAAGCTACAGCCCATCCTGCAGCTCCCCAGGCCGGCAGGCAGCACTGCTGCACCTGCAGTGCTCAGCACAGCAGCAAACCCTCACTGCT